GGCTATCTACCAATTAATTAATCAATTAATTATTGAGATAAGGTCTTGTCTATAGTCTAGGCTGCCCTCTATGTGACCCTTTTGTCTCACTCTTCTAAATGCTGGGGTGACAGGTGTGAGTGGTCACCTCTGCTCCTGCTCAGATTTCTTGATGTTCACACCCCAAGTCAGCCCTCCTATAGTTATCTACAACATTAATTCCACCATTCAAGATCTTGCACCACACACACACACACACACACACACACACACACACACACACACACACACACACACACCCTGCCTCTCAAGAAAAAGTAAGACCTTAGGTTGGCAGTTGTTGTTGAGTCTTAGATGGTCTTTTAACAAAAAACCTGGAGGCAGATACTGGGGTGAAACCTGAAAGATCAGAGAAGCCAAGCAAGCCACAGCCAAACTCACCTCACCAACTCCTCAGCTGATCCTGTTTCCTCAGACTGAAAGCCTCTGAGTGCTCACCCAAAAGGATCTCAGTTGAACTGCCTTAGTTCCTCACACCTTATATACCTTTCTCCACCCTGCCTTCACTTCCTGGGATTAAAGGCATATGTGCTTCCCAGTACTGGGATTAAATGTGTGTGCCACCACTGCCTGGCACTGTTCAAGGCTCAGTGTGGCCTTGAACACACAGAGATCCAGATGGATCTCTGCCTCCCAAGTGATAGGATTAAGGGTCTGTGCTACCCACTGCCTGACCTCTATGTCTAAACTAATGGCTGGCTCTGTTCTCTGATCCTCTGGCAAGCTTTATTGGGGTACACAATAAATCACCACAAGCAACAGCCTACTTACATTTTGAATGATTGGTCCCCATTTCTTCTCTGTGGGACAGATATCTTCCTACTTTTCCAAGGCCTTTCCATATGTACATGTGCTTTTGGGGGGCGGTTCTCCAGTGTGTTGTTTATCTGAGAATACCATCAGTTTTGCTGGTATGGGGTAAATGACTGGGAGGGAGCTAGAGGAAGAGGAGGGCTGTGTGAAAGGAAACTACACACAGGAGCTAGAGGGAGCCCTGTGAACAGAGCTCCATTCCGTCCCTGACAGCAGTTTCCCCGTCACTGGGCAGCAGGCCTTGGAGCCGCTTCAGCCTGCTTTCCTTGGCATTTTATGTCTGCTGACAACTACGGATACTCAGCATTTCACTCCCTCCTGTTGCTGCCCCTCGCTGCAATTCGTCCTTTCCTTTGAACGGAGCTTTTTCATTTTACCCTCATCTTGGTTCAATTCCTGGATTCTCATTTCTACCACAACTTTTTTTTTTTTTTAATCAAAATCGCTTTGCTCACACTCACTTGCACCCTAATCAATCCACCCAAAGGTATTTCCCATGATTCTCATTCTCTTGGGTCTGTGGTCTCAGCCTTCCTTTCTCTGACAGTACTGCTCAGTTCTGACTCATTTTCTCCCACTGCTGATTTCTGAGACCATGTGCACAGAGCACCTCCCTCTCTGGCTTCCTCTCAGCCCTACCAGTGAGTAATTCCCAAGAAGTGGACTTTTCTTCTGTTTTTCTCGTCAAATATTCTTCTGGGAGTCTATCTGCTGCTGCAATTAAATTATCACATGTGCAACTGGCATTTCCAGTTTGACATTAGCTCTCTTCTGGCCACAGAGTAGCTAGAGTGGTTCCAGTTTGACATTCGCTCTCTTCTGGCCACGGTGCAGCTAGAATGGTCCCTTAAGTATTTGTGTGAGGCTTCCTTCTGGAATTACCATCCTGGCTCCTCACTTGATGGTGCTCACACTAAAGTTGCCATTTTCCCTTTGAAGGTTTCTGTTTGTGACACAGAATCTCCCAATACTCAAACTCTTAACTTTCCTTACATCTCCCTGACAATCTCATCAACATCATATGGCATTCTCTGTCTCAAGCCTTTAGAGTAATTCCTGAGACAACACCCATCCCATGAATACTGTGTGGCATTCACATCAGGTCTTCCTGTAACATACTTACCCTATAGGTTTTAAAGAGATGCTACAAAGAAAACTCATATACACCCAGACATGTCCCAGTTCAGACAGTTACTCAAATACTTTTCCATTCATTGTTCCCTCTATGCACTTCAGGAGGCTTGCCTAACATCTAAAGCTTGGCCAGCTCTGCTGGCCCCATCTCTATTAAGTAATCCTAATTCTACTAGACAGAAAGAACTACCAAAATCCCATTACATTTTGTTTATTTACTGGTCTTTCTTTCTACCAAAGGCCTTATATGGGAATTACAAAAAATGTTCTATTTATTTCTCAATACGTATTTTATTATTTTTAGTCATATATATGATTATGGGTCTGTGGGGGTGGTGTGTGCACATGTGTATCAGGTCCTACCGCACCAGGGGTTTCAGATTAACTGTACCTGAAACTACAGGCAGCCGTGAGCCACCTGACATGGACACTAAGAATGGATCCTCTGCAAGAACAGTACATGCTCTTAACCACTGAGCCATCGCCCTACACCCCCACAATTTCTCTGTTTCAAGCCATGACCACCATGTACTTACTTAGAGTAAGTGCTTGCAAACCATTCCAAATTAAACCAAACTGAGACGAGATTTCACCAAGAGCTTGGAGGGTTAGTGAACTATTAAAGAACAGGCATTCAGATGAAGCCTGCTTGGAATTCCCTTTGAAAGATTGAACTGTTTGAGAATATTATATCTTTTTTTAAAAGGCAGAAAGTGAAGAAGGGACTAATGCTCTACTGAATGCTTCTGGTCTTTTACGGTATCAATGTAGTGAGAAATTAGAATTAGGTCAGGGGTGCTACCTGGTGCTGCACTTTTCCTTCTGGGATTTTTAAAGAAAGAAGGGTTCACTGTGAACTCTTATTACTTCTTAGTGGGCATTTTTCTTTGACAATTTTCACTTAACTAGAAGACACAAAGTGGGATGAATGTATACTACATTGAGAAGAGTTGCTCTGCTGGCCAAAAGGTACAAAAGCCCTTGCTGTGCATGATACAATTTCCTGGAGCACAGGCTAATTCCTTTGATTGCCAGAACTAGGAAGGGTTTCTAATGTCATCTAACTTGTATGAAATTTCTGAAAATGCTTTTGAGTATATAACTCCAGGATTTTATAATTATATAAAACACCTAGAATATACTTTGCTTGATTCTGAGTTTTCTTTTATTCTTACAATTTATGGCAGCATACTTTCAGGAGATTATTTTTTATAATTATCATGACCGAGCCCAACTTTAATATAAATTATAGTACAATGAGCCATAGAGAGAAATATACTTTAAAAAATATATGTATATATTTTACTATGTTCTTTTGGCAGTACATGTCTTCAACAAGTTTGGCTATTTTAAACATGAAAGCATTTGGGCAGTGATAATCAGAAATTATGAACTTATTTATGCTGTTTACTTATTAACTATTTTAATAAATTTTTTAAATTTGTAATTATGTGTATTGTGCAGGTTTATGTGTATGAATAGCCCTGGGGCCCAGAGACATTGGATTCCCTGGAGTTGGAGTTACAGGCATTTTTGATTCACCCAGTGGGGCTGCTAGGAAGCATATTCAGGTCCTCTGCAAGATCCGTTCTCTTAATCACTGAGCCATATCTCAGTCCTGTTTCTTTTTATTGCTAGTTTGCAATCATAACGAATTTATTCTGTCAATCTCAACAACTCATTACCCACAGGAATTTTGCAGGAAATTGTGACTTAAGATATTATAGATGTGAACAGATAGAGAAGTGCCAGAGAAAATGGAAGATGAGAAAAAAAAACAGGAGACACAGTCTTTTGGATAATTCTGATTCAAAGAAGTTTGTTTATATTAGTTATTCATCCAACTGGTACAGAAAAAAGGATCATAGCCTCTATAAAAATAGATTCACATTATTATCTGTTTTTCACTACATCACTGCTATTTAAGACTATGTACTCCGTAAGATATTTTACCTAAACATGTTCAATAGAAATATTTAATAAAAGTTTTTGTTTTTTTAAAATATTGAATAAACATTTGTTGAAGTAAAAAAAAAATGACAGCGTCTAAGAGCAGAATTAAAACCATCCATTGACTTGACTTCATTTTCTCAGTGACCTACATGAACAATTATCCACACACGTAGTGGTGACACAGGTACATATAGCTAACTGAAACACAACCAGGAGCAGCCCACATTTGACAATGAGCATACATATACTGCACAGTACATTCATATACATGAATCCAGAGCCAAGAATTTCCACCCACATACTTATTTTTGGTCAGGTTTACATTCAGGTAAATAGAAAAATACATTTTCTACATCTTTACAAAATATACTTGGAGGAAAAAGAATATTCTGAGTGTGAAATACAGCCTTTATTCTGTCAGGCAATGTAATTATGGAAGAAAAACATATCCACATTGTCTAATTAGGTCATTAAAAAGCTTAAATGCGTCATGGAAGCTTTTTCCTTTGCCTAAGACATAAAATGAGACAATGAAAACAGTCTGGTAATATAGAAAGGTCTAGAATTTGTTTCTTTTCAAAAATAATAGGTCCTTTCATCTTTCTTTTTCCTTAGACAAAGACAATTAATTTAGAGACAAAATCTTCTAATTAGTTCAGAGTTTGCCCTGATTATATTTCAGAATATTTAACCAGAAACAGGAAGATAGAGGAGGGGAGAAAGAAAATACATGGAAAATTATCAAAGGAAGTGAATGAAATCAAGAGAGTGGGCTGTTGATCAAAATGCATTCTGCAGAGTTGAGATGAATATAAAGTTCACATTCACATAAACACGAAGCAATTTGGGAAACCAGGAAAGTCTCCGGAGGAAAAGACTGACATCTGCCTGTAGGCCTTGAAATCCAGACTTTAATTACAGCTAACTTAAATAAAAACAAATGGCATGATTATTTTGCCTCTTCCTCTGTCTGCTGATTATTATTTCTTGACTTTCACAGAATCTCATTCTTCAAAGCATTACAAAACAGAACCTGGAAAAACGAAGGAGAGGATATTTACCTGGGATCCTCGTGGTCCTCTTTTGTGGTCCCATTCTGAATGACCCATAAGCTGTGAAGACAAGAAGGTAATTGTGGTAAATGTATATTTTGTGTCACCAATATTTTTATTCTTAATTTGAAAGAATAATTAAGCTGCTAAAATCTGTGTTCTAATAGGAATAGCATTAAGTAAACACCATGAGTAAATTGACATGAAGGAATAAATTGTCTTGATAGCTAGCATTTCAAACTATACTGGTAACAAAAGTATCTGAATAACTCTGGTAGGAAGAATCTGCTATGTATGGCTCTACTATTCTTTGCCAGGGAAATTCTAGACACATGTCAAATTGTGCAAAGCTTCACTTTCATGTCAGTAAGCCTGTGGTCACCCAGGGAAATACACAACAGGGCTGTGTGATACGCTGTCAGAAGGAGGAAGCAGAAGGCCGATTTTATTTTTAGTAATTTTCAACTATACATATATATAATTATGCAAATCTGTTGTCCTTAAAAATGTATACCCTTTTAAGGCTGGAGAGATGGCTTATTGGCTGAGAGCACTTGCTGCTTTTAAGAAGAACCCAGGTTCAGTTCCAGCACCCCTGTGGTAGCTCACAATCAAGTGTCCTAAACTCTAGTTCCAGGGGATCTGATGAACATCCAAGGGCACCAGGCAAATATGTGGTACACAGACATACGTGCAACAAAAATAATCATACACATGAAACAGAAATAAAAATAAGTCTTAAAAAGGGATACTATTTGAACTAAGTAAATCAAAATATGAAACCGCAGTAACAGTGATGTGTTAAAATCTGTCATCTAACAGAAGACAAGTCAGCCACTAGTTATAGTATGAGAACAAAACAGAGTGCAATTAAAATTCTACTTTACAATCTTTGACAAGAATTGAATAAGAAATCCTTATGACATGATAATCCAAAAATAAACCAAGGTAATTTATGTTACTCATTTTACAAGACATAGTAGGCCATTGCACTCAGCAGAGTCATTGTAATGATTTAATTATAGTTTGGCTAGCACATGATTTGGGCAAAATTATCCAACTAACCATTATGCAAAATTAAATGTTCACACAGTTCATATTTCTTTAATGCTTTAATTTTTTTAATTTTTGATTTATGGGCATTGCTTTTTCTGGTAAATGCTCATTAATTCTAATTTAAAGTTGTTGATGAGGTTCACAAATACTAATCAATCAATCAAATAATTAGTATGGTTTATAAATATTTAAATTAGAGCCATTTAATTACTTATTCTCTAGAACTATCCAAAGCAATTCTTGACACATTTCAATTGTCAGCCTCTTTGTGGCCTTGGGATTGCCCAGTACTAATAGCAGGAAGGTGAGGAGCTATGTACAGAAAGTTTGGTGACATAATGAAGTGAGCTCTGGGTGGTGCTGAAATGATTTAGCAAAGTTTTTGGGAAAGACTACTTTACAGGAGGCTGACTCATATGATTATCCCCTGCCGTACTAATAATTTCAAGCCAGCAGAATAGAATAACTTGGCAAAGTCTGCTACACATGGCAATCGCAGTAAACCCAAGTAAACTCATTTTCTAAATGAAAATTATAATCTATATTCCAAGGATTAAAGAGAGAATATTTGCTCGTGACATCAGGTCAAGAAGGCAATGGTTTTCTCGGACCAGAAAGAAAATTATGAAATTTCTCCTCTCCTGTCACTAATATCTTACATATGTTGATGTTTTAAACCCAAGAATAATGTTATTTCAAATGTATACTGATTTGAGTCATCATGTATTACAGAAAAGAAGATCAACTCAAAACTTTGCAAATCAGAGCTTTTAAAAACACTTCAAAAAACTCACTGTCTCAATTTGGCCTTTTCTTAAAAAAAAAAGTATAATTTGCCAAGTATGTTACCTATCAGAAGCAGCAAATTCTCAGCATATGATAAACTAATGAGAGAACATTACTGTAAATGAATTCTATTTTATTCTATTATGAATATGTATATGACTTGTTATATTTAAAAGGTATGAGCTGACCAAGAATGTGATTTGTTTGTTTAAAGATTTATTTATTTTTATTTTATGTGTGTGCCTGCATTAGCTTATGCATGCCATGTGCATGCAGAAGGCTGCAGAGGCTAGCACAGTGTGTCAGATCCCCTGGAACATTAGTTACAGATGGTTGTCAGCTGCCTGTGTGTGCTGGCAGCCATATCCGGGTCCTCTACAAGAACACTGGTTAACTGCTGAGCCATCTCACCAACCTCTGACTGTTATATATATATATATATATATATATATATATATATATATATATATATATATATAATGATTGCTACTATTTTCAATGCCATTGAAAGTTACATGTGGCATTCTATAGCATATGCAAACTATAAATGAAAAGCAATTAACTATGAATATGATAAATGAGATACAGGAAAGTTCTCTAAATAAGGAGGGCATCAAAGAAAATTAACTGGACATTTCCCCTTATGGGTTTAAAGCTTAACCCTTAAATTATATTTTTAATGAAAATAATTTGAGCTCAAATTACCATTTATTATTTCAGTGTTGAGTTCATGGGGTTTTATTACAGTATTTTTTTTTGATGGGTTTTAATGCAGAAGCAGTAGCAAATACTCCTGGAAAAACAGAACCACAGGGCAAAACATTTTAGGAAGTGCTTAGATGTTCTGCAGCCCATTTTTCAGGCTAGTGATTGTGAGAAAATATTGCTAAAACAAATATTAAGGAAGACAGCATGCATACAAAATCCCATGGGTTTCAGAGTGAAGTACAGACTATGGCTATTCTATCAACAAGACAGTCAGATAGTCTTTTGATCAAGCTGATAGATTTAGTATCACCTCACAGATGATCAAAGCAGTCAGGGGATTAGTTTTTTTAAAAAAAAAACATTTATGGGCCAAGGACAACAAGGAACAGAAGTAGAAACTGGACATTTTTCTTCTTTCAATCTATCCCATGTGGACTCAACCTTTGAGATCAATGAAAAGCAGCAGGGTACCTAAGCAATTCTGGAAAAACTATCCGAAAGTATTAACTGCTTTTGAGATAGTCCTTTGGAAGAGGTATGTGTGCAACTTTATGATATGTTAAATATAAGAGAAAGAGATGAGCCCTGGAAAATACATAAGCTCTGGGGATGCAGACATGTTCTAGTTAAGAGTACATAGCTACTTAACTCAGAAAGAGAAAACTGTTTCTCTGTCACCATCTATTAAAAAGTTTCCCCTGTGATTTTTCCTTGGAGGAGTGACATTTTGACAAGTATCTTACCGAAAGTTTGATGACATAGGTCATCAAGGTTAAGCCTACACATGGCAGGCAAAAATCTCTCCATAGAATGAAGAATTCCTGAGGAGGGGATGGGGGAGTCCCTTGTGTCTTTTTTCAGTCTTCGTGAACCACGATGAGCAAAATAAAGATACTTAAATTTATTCCTGGTGGACAAGCTACATGTTCTTCAAGAGAGACAAGTCTGTCACATGAAGCATTTAGAACATCCTGACCCTTTCACACGGGGTCATTTTCATCATTACAGAATAATTGCTCCTTCTCTCCATCTTATTTTCGATAATAAATTTCTGCATCACAGCCTTCAGCTTAGCAATATGTTGCACAACGCTGCCTTCCAAGGAAAACAAAACTACTGCCAAGCACAGAATTCAAGAAGTTCACAGGAGTAGCAAAGAAGGCAACAGGGAAACAGGAGAGTTCTATCTGAGCGCAGATATTTTTAAGTGTGCCGTGAGAAATGACAAGAGCTAGCATGATGTTTCCCTAGGTAAGATGCTTTCAATTGACGCTGACAGAGCTTCATTCTGCTACTTTCTCCTGCTATTTGTTTGTTTATATAAAAATTAATGCCTTTACAGGGGCATCATGGAAGAATTGTCAATGAAAGTCTGAAAGCTGCCTGAGAACTGCAACTCTATGGGAAAGAAGAAATTATTCCTAGTATATATTTAAAAGATATGGAGGAAAATAATTAGCTGAGCCTCATGGTATAGGCTTATACTTGTTTGGGCTACAAGTAAGCTGAACACCTGCCTGAATGGAGTGGGATCCTGGTCTCCAAAAGAAGGTTTTAAATGGACTGGGCTACAGCTTAGTTGGAAAGCATTTGTCTAGCATGTGCAAGGTCACATGTTCACTCCCCAGCATAGCTTAATTATCAAAGGTAAGGGGGAAGACTCCAGTCACCAGGGTTATGTTTTATGGCACTTTAAAGAAATATGTTTTGCTTTGAGGGGAGGGTTCAGGTTTCACTTCAGGCCAGGCTAACCTAGAACTCTAGCTCAGGCTGGCTTCAATGTCACTGTGATCCTCCAGCCTCAGGCTCCTAAGTTCTGGCATTACATTTGCTAGTCACCTTGACTGGCTTTAAGAAAACTATTCCCTTCAGGTGGTGAAAATTACTAACACATTTTAAAAAAACATACAAAAGTAATTTACATAGGAGGAAGTCAGAGCTGCCAGAGGGTCCACTTTTTATACTTGTTAACATTTATTCATTAAACAAATTTTCATTGTATGCCTATGATGTGTAAGGCACTGATGTAGACACAGCTAATACCACAGTGAGAAGAGCAAAATGTAATTTTTCTTCCCTGGTACTTATAATTTAGCAAAGGAAGATGTAAGACATTCACAGAGGCAGCCAGCCCACATGGCCCTGGTGGGGATGAAGAGGTTTACAGTATCCTAGGAGGATGGCGGTACAGGAACAGTGGGTAACAGCTGGGGCTGGGCACAGAGCTACATTTCTGTAAGGAAGCCAGAGAAGCCCCTTTGAAAGACGGCGTCTCCGGGAGACCTGGAGAAAGTAAGACAGGCATACTTGTAGACCTGAAGGAGGAGCACATCAGACACGACACAGCAGGTGCATAGTCCCTGAGGCAGGAGCAAGAAGTGCTGTCTGTGAGGAGCAAGAGTGGGTCCCTAAGCTGCCATTTAGGAGGAGTAAGATTTGTGTAGTTAGAGGTCTACATTTGACAGCTTACTTCATTCCAATAGAAAATAAAAAGAAAAAACCAACCTAGA